GTTCGCATTTTTGGGGGAAGGGGGTTTGAAAAATTGTAACAAAATGTAACATAAGGGGGGGGGGGGGTGTCAAGAAATATGTAACGTTTTAACTGTAGTCTGTCTTTCAAAAAAAAGTTCACGAAAAAAATTTGTTTACAAATTCAGGGGGGGGGGGGGGTTGTGAGTTGTAACATATTGTAACAAGGGGGGGGAGGGGTGGGGAAAAATTCGTTTTTTTGCGTAACGTAATAAGTGAACGACCCCTAAGCTGATTTATGAATTTTGTCTCAGATTAGAAATCAATTATATCTTAAATTACACAATAATATTTTATCTCTGTCATTTCGCTGTCCATAATATCTTTTAACATGAACCATTATTGATTTTTCATCGTGTGTGTTTAATTATCTACTTGTGGCTTGCAAAGTTAATTGACCTTACGCAATATTAGATTGAATTATGATTAAATCTTATTAATTATGTGGCATTTGCTACAAGAAAATAATTTGAATAATGAACAAATGTCATGTTTAAGTAATTGACATTCTTGTTGGATGTCATATGCTTTAAAAATTAATTTATTTTGTTGTTTTTCTATTAAATCTTTCATGAGAAAATGGGCAACCCTTGTAGAAATGTTTTGCAGATTCATGACTAACGTAATCGTTGATGAATCAGCCTCAACTGTCTCAAAAGAATGTACTGGGAGTCCTCGATTTGAGTAGGTGTTTTGTTCAATAAAAATCCTATTCAAATCGAATCTACTCAAATCGAGGACCCATATTACTCGACATAATCAATAGTTTTTGACCCGAATCAGTAGTTGTGAACCAGAAACCATATCAGTTCTGGTAAAACTTGGCAAAAATCTCACAAGGATCATTTAATAAAAACACAGACCATAAATAATAAACATAAAGCCACTGAAAAGTAAAAGAGACGCAAAAATGAACATAATTAGAAATAAATGGGAGGATGAAGAAGAATCTGCTCGCATAGAATTTTTATTATTTTTATTTCTAATGCGAAACAGATGTTTTTGTAGATTCTTTTTGCTTCCATTTCTTTTCAATTTCTCGTCTCTATCGTTTTTATGTATTTAATTTCATGTCTATATGTGATATCTTCTTCCTCCTTATTACAACCATAAAGATTAATGTAGAGAGAAAGATATCCGGTGTAAATTGTTTATCTATTTTCTACATGTTATGTACCTCAAATGTCCATGCCCCTGAAGGATGTCGGATTTTTGATGACTATTTTAAATGAAACTTCCATTCACTTTTCACTTCTGTTTGTAGACTTGTTGACATAGGTCCATTAAATATTTAGATTTTTATGATTGTTTTAATGGAACTGCCAAAATGACACGAATGAAATGGAAAAGGAAATTTCAATGTGACTTGATTATCTTTTTATGGCTTCATGACTTGACATTGTGAATGAAAGCTCAAGTAATTGGAATGCCGAAGGAATGCATACATCAGGACGATTTCCTTGATTAAAAATCAATAAGAAGACCCAGAAATTAGAAAATGTTTCTTGAAGTCATGTCTACATCTATAGTAATTTTTCATTGATGCTTAGTTTTGAGGACTTTAATCTTGATTTATGTGATGAACTTAGATAGAGATTTATGAATGAATGGATTAACTATAAGGCAATGATGTTATGTGCCACAAAAAATTTAAAATCTATGAACATGCTTGTTTTTCTGTTGATTTTCTGGGGAGAGTGAGTAGAGAGTTATATTTGGATCATAAGCTAATATTATTGATCATAAATCACATAATTTGCACGATAATTAGCTGAAATAATGCCAAAAAATTAATTCCCAAAAATGCACCTTATTGCATCTCATCCTAAACAGCCTCTCAACATTGAAATTTTCTTTTTCTACTTCATCAGATCTGGAATGATTTACTGAGACGAATTTTTCGGTTTCTTCTTGGAATTTCATTTCTCTTATCACCTACCAATTCATCATCTTCATACAATAGAGAACACCCATTTATTTTGTGACGATTCTGCTGTTGATGATGATGAGCTAGATTGTGCGACGCTGCTGGAAGAAAAATTTTAGGTTTTCTTTCCTTCGTAAAGTTATCAGCTAGTACTTTCTGAATCTTCAATAGTATCGGCTATGAATTTTCTTTTCTTCTTTCACTGTCAAGGCACATTTTCCTATCGAATGGAATGGAACGAATAAAAAATATTATACATGGATACATAAACATCCGCAAAAAGCGTTTCCATTATTCAGTCTTTGCCGGATGCTTGATTGTGTATGCTGAATGTGAAGCCATAAACGGCATTTTTTTTCTTGAGACGACCTTCCTCCTTGATATTGAAAAATAAATGCTTTATATGGGTTGAAAATGCGGAAAATGTTTTGTCGATTCTGATGCGTCATTAGGGAAATTTTGAGAGAGTTCCAGGGGTTAATCCACTTTAAAGTACGTCCTAAAGTAATAAAAATTAAAAAATTTTGGCGACTTTCGAAATGTTTTTTGAAAAATCGAAAAAAAGCGCAACTTTTATGGCTTTACAGCGGTGCTAAAATTTGTTTCCCTCCATCATCTCCATTTAAAGCTTGTTTTCCCACGATTATATCTTCTTTTTCTTTCACTTCTCATGCAGTAATTTAAACTGTTGTGTATGAGCTCGATCATTCAGCAAACATCAAATAAAATAGACAACTCAAGTGTATCAAAATCTCGTTCGATTAAGTCGTAAATGCAATAAAAGTGAAATCTTTTTTTTTTTCTTTTCATTTCTTTTTTTTTGATGATTTTTCACTCAAGATAATGATTCAATTACAAACATGTGAAATCAATTTTTTATTTTTGTTGTAGATTAGAAGCATTCATCCTCATGTATGTAAAATTTTCTCTTTTTTCTCAATTTACATTTTTTATTTATTTTTGTTTTGCATGCCAAACAATTTATGTGCTGTACAATGCGTGATGTTATAGGGGTTTTTTATTAGAAATTGGAATTTATTGGAGCTTAAAATGTTCTTTGAAAATTTGTATTTTTTTGGTTGGCTTTAAATCTTATATTTACATTTTTATTGAGCTTTTAGGGTTCTTGATTTTTCAGGAGATTTTCGATGAAGCCACACTTTTCACGACGTTCCTCAAGTTATTTGCTCATTTAATAGCTTGAGTAGCACTGAATTAGGTTTTGAATCTATCAATTTATAGAATTAGGTTTCATTCTTAAGCATAGACAGATGATTAAGTCCTCTTGTGTTCCTAGGATAAAGGCAGCTTCAATCCATTCCACAAAAAGTGACTAAGAGCTCATTAAGAATAAGTTTAATCAAGTATTTGATAATAGTAACTGAGATAAGACCAAGGCGTGGACACTGAGATTAATTCCAAATAATCCCAAAAATCCCAAATGATTCCAATAATCCTGAATAATCCCAGCATATTTTTGAGTGTCCACGCCTTGGATAAGACATAAGTTTCATTCTCAAAATCTCAAGTTATCTTGACTCTCTTCACAAAACCAACTTATAAACACCTCAAATCCTCCATAAAACTACTTCTTGTTCCTTACTATAATAAATTTAAATTATCTCAAATCATCTCATCCATAAACAAAACCGATAAATTTCTATCAAGCCTGTCAATGCGACTATTATTAAGTTATAAAAGTTATGAAGAGGTTTTCTATATGCTATATGGTAGCTGATACGTGTATCAAAATTTATGCCTCTCAACTGAACAATCTCGTTATGGTTGATAGATAAATCAAATTTTACACAGTATCTAGATACTTGAAAAAATCGATGAGGAAGTTTGATGTGCTTGAGATAGAGAAACTTCTGGTTTTAAAATTACTAAAATTGAGGTTTTCTCATGCAATTATTTTTGATGCTACCCTGAAGAGTGGATTTAATTAATAAGGAAGAGTTTTGAGATTGGAAACTATTTGAACGGTGAAGAAGTTTGTGCTGAATATGAGTTTGATAAGAAAATCTTTAGACATTTAGGATAAGAGATCTGAAGCAGTGTGACATTACATTATGTACTTCATTATGCCTAATGAAAGCAGACCCAAGCAATCAACAGCACTTCAACAACGCAATAAAAGTGAAAAATTACCCAACAATTGACGATTAAATTCCATCAACTCATTAATGATTTATTTTCATTGTTTTAAATGATGAATTGCAACATAAATGAGACAAAAAAAGTCACTCATCATCTCATTATTGATGCCACTTTTATTGGATTAACAAGTAGCATCTTTTATGCCAAAAGAAGATTAATTTTCGTTACATAAAAAATCTGTCGTGATTTATTAGATTGAGCTTTATGCAATGAGGAAGTTACGGAATCAGCCTCAGTTTCAGCTTCTTCATCAGTTCATGTCAAAGAGGAAAAAAAAAATTGTCAACAAAAAAAAATTTCATCAAACATGCTCTGTACATTAATAATTTTGATTGCTTACAGTTTGTGCAAGCAATACGGCACATAAAAAAAAGTAAACATGGCAACAGCTGATGTCGTTAACATTTCGTCGATGGTTGGATGAACCTTTCAAAATCAATGATTGCGCTTAATATTTTGGACAGCAATTGGGTTTTATAGTATGAACGTGAGGTCAATTAAGGAGGAGTAAATTAAGTGATTACGCAAGATTAGGTCGTTTGAAGTGATGAATGGTTAACACATTTGGACATAGTTGCGACTGAATGACGTCACTCATATTATGTCGATATATCCAATCGTTCATTTACAGAGAATTAGTGGAATGAAAATTAGCACCGATATAAATTAAAATTCGCAGCATGAACGCAATTCCATCAGTTCCAGGAACAACTACAACACAATAAATTAACATAAAGCTTCATTCAGCATTTTCATCGTAGATTCATTGATAAAGCTGTGTGTTCTGAAACTGACAAGCTTTATTAATAAAATAAAAGACTTTAAAAAAATTCTTTGATCAAATATTTTTTTTTAAATTTTATTAAACTTTTCGATATAAAAAAATTTGTTTTTCTTTGGGGCCATTCACTTATTACGTAACGCTTTTAGGGGGGGGGGGTCTACGGTTTGTTACGGTTCAAACAAGGAAATTTTTTTTTCATACAAATTTTGTTACGAGGGGGGGGGGGGGGGTCTAAAAAGTCATTTTTTCGCGTTACGTAATAAGTGAACAGCCCCTTTACAAAAACTTTTCTTTGGTGAAATTCAATTTCGATTTAAATTAATTAACAAGATTAAAAGCATCTTTATTTAGCAAATTATTTATAAAATTTTAATAAAGAAAACAAGTTAAATTAGGCAAGTATAGATTGGGACAGGTGACTAGCGTTTACTAATTAGAAAATATGGGAAGGGGCTCATTGTCTCTTAAATAGAAATTTAGTTAACTTCAATTCATTTTCAATAGCTGAACAGACCCGAAACTGTTGAGCCTTTAAAATTACATGCATTTTATATGTAGACATAATTTCCAACATTTCCGACCATATCAGCATCAATGATCTCAATTTGGTCAACAGCTACGCTATGTCTTCGTGAAACAGCCTTTCTCGCGGCTATATCCAAATCAATCAATTTCTTATCGCTTCCAAATGATGAGAATGAGTTTTGGACAGTCCGAATTTCTCGAATATTATAGACTGGATTGTAAGTTGGTGATTTTAATAATGATTTTTCTGATTGCCTAAGTGAATCATTGAAGCCCTTCAAGAGTCTTTGACTACAATAATTGCATTTTTGTGTGCTGCTCATATTGCATTGACATTTTCGTGGTGGTGATTGTTTTTGTTGCTGAATCACATTTCCGTTCACATCGGGCATGCTTGACTGATCATATCGAGTTAGTGCATTAAGTTTGCCGAAACATGATTCCAATTTTGTGAATGTCGACTTTACGATCGATGGAGATGATGACTGAATTGAGGATGTTGAGGGTGATTTTATGCTGATTTCATCAATTTTTTGTGCCTTAGCTGGACTTAATGATGAACTTATGTCAATTGAATAATTTTGTTTCTGATTATTATTTTGAATATCCAATTGAACTGATCGTCTTGCCATATTTCTAATTCTTCGTACGAGGAAGTGACAAGCATCGCCTTTTTGATTGCGTAAAATTTGTGCACGCAATGGCAAATCATCTGGATGTAATTTCCTCTGGTATTCTTGTTCTGGACATACTTCATACAATGAAAAGTCCTCAACTGGTTCAGTCGAATTGTAACATGACAATAAGAGACTTAGTAACTCATCTGATGTCGTCTGTTCTGATATTAATAGACTCTTATATTGAGATGTCTGCTGTAGAGCGGATGTATGGACACGAATTAGTCCGCCTGCTTTCATTTGCAAATGAAATTTTGATTCGCCTGATGGATGACAAGCTTGAAGCATTGCTGGTCGTGCTGAGTCATCTAAAGTTAATAATGTACGTGCATCAGCTCTTCGTATTCGGACTTCCATTGACAAAAAGAATAGTCGTGGATCTCGATGACGCATTTTACATCTGAATTTTTGAATAGAGACAAAGAAAAAGTTTTGAGGTTAGAATTTTATTTGCTTGAAATGTTTGTATTTCTAGGGTTGACATATAAATTTTAAGGTTTAAATTCCCAAGAAATCAAAAAAGGGAGGAAAAGGATCAAAAGGTTACCTTCTTAGAACTTGTGTGACAATTTGTCTAGCAGTTGTGTCCCAAGATACTGCCAATGTTTTATACTCTATGTCAAGCTTTAAGCATGCTGTATACACCTTTAAGGTTGTCTATAAAAAAGGAAAATATTAAAAATTAATTAAATTGCGACAATTTAAAAACAATTTTAAAAATAACTTTTTCTTTCAACTTTCTTTGTTATGAATTATGAGAAATGATCGCAAGTTTTAGTTATTTTTGTTTTTAATTGTTGCCTTGCCTTTCATCTCATTACGAAAGAAAATATATTTTACCCACAAATGTAATCAGCGAGTAAGTTTTGAATGCCTTCCAATGTAAAATTAGCATGAGAACAATACGAGAAAATATTATGAAAAATAATGGGGAAAATGCTTTATTTTTCATAAAACTTTTTTATGTGGGAAAGAGCTTAACTGCAATGATTTACATTCAAATTACTCATTTCACTGCTTCAGTTTTTGTTGAGCACAATTTTAGGTATGAATGGAATTTCGCAAGTAATTTGTCGCATACAAAGTTTCTGATGATTATTTAGCTGTTAAATTTTAACGAGAAGCCTTTAATGTTTCAAAAGTAATTAATGCAACTTTTGCCATTTGAAACAATAAATTGCAAGAAAGTTTTCAGGCGGTTCTGTTGTTATTGAAGAAATAATCGAGAAAAACTTTTTGAAGTGATGAAAATTTTTAAAGGGTGTAAAACTATGAATTTCAAATTTTGAAAATTCTTTAAAATGCTCTTTATTTCCCAAATTATAGTGCCTTCATTGCTTGATTTTCCGCATATAAAAAGTTTTCATTCCTCCGGCCCCGCTGTGTTGATGGATGAAAATAAATTTCTTCCTTTCATTTTGATTTTAAAACATCAACATTATTCATGGCGTGCCTCATCAAATAATAGCAACAACAACAACAATTGCAGTCGACTGCCGTGTTGGAGTATGAAATTCATTGTATGTGGAAGGATGACAGTATTTCCGAAAGTATTTAAATGATCATTCATCATTTCACACGTGACTAGATTTTCAAAACATATCTACGTGATATTGTTATTATTACCTGTGCTATAGACTCATTTAGACTTGAATAACTCGACGATCTTGATGGTGTCATTTGAGGTTCTGGGCTGCCGCATAATGATGATGTATATGATACATTATTTAAAGATGATGCCGTCGACGAACGAAGTGAAATGGAATCCGATCGACTTCGTAGAGGTGAAATGTGAACGTGCTTCAACATCTGTGGGAAAAAAGGAAGAATTTGAGATGAAAATTACTAGATTCAATTTCAGTTGCAAGTGTTTATGTAAAAATAAAATGAACAGACAAAGTTTTGCAATAAAATTAGTTCCTTGTGGCAATCAGATGTTTTTGTCAGATTTTTTCGATTGCAATTTTCATCAATTTTGTGGTTAAGTATCAACAAACTTCCAGCAAAACCCTTAACTGGCATTATAATTTTACTTAAAAAAACTTTTTAATTTAAATTAAATATTTTCAGAGTAGAGGAACTGAAACAAAAAAAAATTCATTAATTTCATTCAACATCGTCAAATATTATCATTCTGTTGCTTAATGTTAGCCAGAGAAAAGGATGTGGTAGAGGTTAAACTTTTTTACGTAACGAATAAAAAGCAACAATAAAGACTTTGAAGCAACCACAAAGTTTTCTGTTTTATTTTGTAGCTGAATATACGAAGGAAATTGCTGCTTTGTCGGTGCTGTGTGTTTTTCTTTTATTTCTCAATTTATGATTTTTGGTTGTATATAATTTTTGTGCAGGTTTAAAATTTATATTCTTAAAGCTTTCAGTATTTAAAGCTTGGCAATCTTAAAGGTGGACTGTTCTAAAGCTGAACTAAGTTTAGCAATGTGAAAGCGAATCTTGCTTTAGTCAATTATTGTAAAAACTAAACATGATGCTGAGCCTCGATGCTGAGCTTTGGATTGATCAAATTGCCATTTCCCAAAAGCATTCCAAACCCTCCATACCCAAATCTATTTCCAACTCCATTGTCTTTCTTTCACCCCAAAAAAAACTGTCCGACAAACTTTTCTTCTTTCCATTTTTTTTGCTCATGTCCATTAATGTCCAACCATTAGTAAATAAGAGCCTCTTAGTACAAGATAAGTATTTAGAACAGAAAAAGTTTTTGTGTGTAAAAAATTGTTAAATAAGCACCATCATGGTTAAAATGGTTATGCTCTCAACGATAGAAGAAGGAGACTTTATACGACAGTTAAGATGAGTATTAAAATATTACTATCATCTTTATGGCTTGAAGTGGTTATCATTTTTATGAGGAAGTGTTATTTTCTGTATTGAAAAAGGAACAAAGCAGACTTTAATCAATTCATTTAGATCCTTATGGAAATTTTATGACAAGATTATTGAAAGCTTTTAAAGTTTGTCCTATTAAGTGACATTAAATATACGTGAGACCTGCTTTGTTGGAAGGATTGAATTCGAATGTTACCTATCTTGAAGATATATCGATTAAAGAGCTTAAGATAAATATTATCAGCTTTTATGAGCTTTACAGACCAACAGTCCAGCTTATGGTTTCAAATTACAGCTTTAGCATCCCTGACATGCTTTTAAGAGAACCGATTTTTAGCTTTTTCTCTGGAACCAATCTTGAATTGTCGAATTAATTGGGAAACTTTTGCTGATGGAAATAAAATCCATTACAAGACATTTTCCAAGGAATATCTAAGTTTATTCAACACAGCCAGTCAACAATTCAATTAAGCTTACAGCAAAATGATAATTGATATTTTGTTCAACACATTCTTGGAATTGGTATTAACAATTTAGGTAATAAAGATACCAATTGGATTACTCTACTTCTTGGAAATTCAAAAATTGAGTAGCAAAAGCAAGAAAAAGTTTGTTTTAAAAAAGTTGTCCAAAATAAATCAACTTTCCTAAAATTTCGATTCTAAGTATTTCCCGCCTATTATTCAATTAGTGGCTATAGTTGTATGATAGATTGATTTAAATCAACTAATAAGAGTATGGACAATCAGTCACTAGTCAACGACGTAGTAATTAGAAGTCATATCGCCATTTATGATCGACCACCCTTCCACTACCCCTTAAGCTCAGTGCTATTATGTTATAATCATCCCACATCCAGTACATTACATTTTTTGAGGCATGACATGGCTTATTCCAAAAATAATTTTCATATGTAATTAAGCATGAAACTTGAATAAAGCACCACAATCAAAATATTGATTTTTCAAGCTTTTTTTACATTTGAATATTATTTCAGTACAAAAAGAGAGCCACGTTAAACAAACGCCTTTTGTTCTCTACTCAAAACTTCCCCAAACAGCTCATTAATTTATTTATTTAAGAACCTTTTAATTCCGCATTGTTGAACCTCTCATAACTTCATTTGCACAGCTATCAAAAATCATTTTCTGCTCATTTTTAACCTTTTGACCGACCCTATCTAATTTTGAGGTCAATAAACACACACCGTCGATAACTGTTTTGCTGTTTACAAACTACTTACTACTTTAACTGTAATGAGACTGCGGAAATTCTTTTTTGTTGCTGTTTGTTGTTTGTTTTTTATTGTCCAAAAATAAAAAAAAAATTGTTAAAGACGAAGAAGAAAAAGTCTGACAACTCAACAAGCAAGTAAATCAGCTTCTGTTACTTCCAATAATTACAATACAGAAAAAATGTGAATCATGACGAACGACAGCAAAAACAGATAAAAAATCTCTGCAAGTTGCGATGTAATGACGTGTTTTCCCAGTAGCAAATTACACTTGTGACATGTGAGACGCTTTTAAGCTGAAATCACCGCTACTCGGAATTTCTCATTATCATTTTACAATAGTTGTTGGTATTAAGTTGAGAATGAGATGCCGTCAATGCTTGTTTTATTTACCTAGTGTGATTTTTTACGAGATTTTTGAGGTAAATGTGCGATGATCATGGTTATGATAAATCGCAATAAGTGGTTCTTTTGAAGTTTGATGTTTGACTGATTGACATCGTCTGAATTTTAAAAGATTCAAATCCTAAAGCTTAGTCACTTATTGATGAAGCTTAGCCGTTAATTTTGGACTTAATTTTATTAAAATAATCAGAAAAATCAACAGACAAACAAACTTAATTTAAAAAATGCGCTTTATTGATGCCACTATCATTCCCAACTTGTTTAATACTGACATTAGCAACCAAAGCATGAATATGTCGAGCGAGATTTTAATCGATTCATTGATTGAGTTTCGATGTATAAAGATTGCCTAATAATTTATACATGAGAAACTTTAAATTATCTTCTACGATTTTGTGCTATTTTACACATTTGCGGCTTAAGATTCAAGGCAGTTGTGCATATTTTTCTATTTCTTCATTTTCGTGTCGTAAAAATTTTTTATTTGTTGGATCTTTTTAAGAGACATAAAAAATTCAGCAAATATTCTTGAGAAGAGATCAAATTCTTGACCAAATGTTTACTCTTCTTAGCTCTTCCATACGTCATCTGTTATAAGTCCGCACAAAGAAATTCTTTAAAAAGAGAATCAGAAGATAATTCTTTCCAGACTTTCTACTTTTTCTTCTTCTTCTATTTCTTGTGCTGCTTTTTGTGCAAATATATTTTTTTCTTGGTAAATCTCGTATGTTGAAAAGGATATTTTCTGGTTTTTGTGTGCTTCCTTCCTGTTTGCGGAGTAATGCTCTTACTTACAGCATGAAATATTTCATTTCAATCTTGATTTATGGAATCAGAAAGGAATTACATTTAAAGGATGTTATTTTTAGGCGAGGCAAAAATGTGGTCTCGCATGAACTCTATGCTGAAAAATTGATGCTAGTTTTTATTCTTGTCTACGAAATGTTTCAGATGCTTTTAAGTTCTGTTGGTTGTTTCATAATTTTTTAACAATTTAAAATCCAGTTGTGCAGTTAAAAAATTGAACAATTCATTTCCATTAACTCCAACACCCATTGTTGTCAGACAACCTCATAAATATAGGTTGTAAAGAAAAATACATATTTTTCTTTATTTAACATATACAAATTCATTAGTTTCATCATTTTTCTTAATTTTGAAATATTAAACGTTCTTTTTAAATTCATATCAATTTTCGAAATTTACTGGGAGTTTTTTCCTACCCCTAAAAAAGAATTTAATCAAAAAAAAAGAAGAACGTGTAGCACAAAAGAGGACTAAAAGTAAGAAAAATAATAATTGAATTAAACATTTTGTAACTTTTTAAATAAAATAAATTAGGTGTAATAATCCTGCAAAGGTTCGCTAAGAAAGAAGGAGAAAAGAAGAAAGATTTTGACTCCAAAATAAAATTGAAGAGAATTTCAAGATTAATTCAAGTTGTTTTAATATTTGCTGTTGGATCTAAAGGATTACATCACGAAATGGTATGTCCAAAACTATTTTAAGAATAAATGTGCGACACGATTAATTATTACACTTTTAATGAGTGTAAATTTGAGAAATGTGAAATATAGCACCATGTGTTTTCGTTTATGATCCAGTAAGGACATATACGATATTTATATATATATAAATTAGTGTTCATAATAGCTCCATTGAGCATTAAACAGTAAAGATATATGATTTGTTGTCGGATATAAAGAAAATTGAATAATTTGAACAAAAATATAAAATTTAACCTGAATTATTGAAAATTAAATATAAAATATTAAATATTAAGCATTTAAAGCATGAGAAACTGTTTTGATTGTGGTAAGCCTTATGATTCACAAAATGAGACTAGATTAAAATGTACAGTAGGTCCTTGTTCAGTTTGGACACATATGAATTGCTTCAATGAACATCATTTAAGTAAAACAAGACAATGGTATTGTATTAATCATTTAGAAGAGATTCATTTTCCTTTACGAAAATCTGTTACTACTTCCAAATCTACTTCCACACCTGCTAAACCTGTTGATGAGCTAATGGATACTTTAACTAAATCATTTGAGAACATCCAAATAAATTCAGTAGATCCAAACACTTCCATTAATTCTAATGTCAATGAAAATTCAAATGACTCAAATAAAGCTAATAAAGACGATAATGTAAGCATATTATTAGTTGATGAAAAATCAAATACAGAGGAATTTGTTAATCCTCATGCTAAAAATGTAAACGCAAAAGAACTGTTTAAAAATTTTAATTGCGATGTTTGTGATACTGGATTTACTGATGAGACCAAAGGTATTCATTGCAGTCAATGTAGAACTAC